TAAACATAATTGTGTTTACTGACATGAATAAACGAATTGTAATTTGAGTTCTTGAATTTATTTTAGGAAAGATATCAAATTATTTGAATACATTTTTTCTTAGTCGGAACGCACCGTCGCATCGCTTGGACTGGCAGGACGAAACAGTAGACGAATTTCGCCCAAAACCCGATTTGCACTTCACAGCTTTATTATTTCCAAATGAAACTCTTGCAGCGTGCTAAAAACAAAGTCCACAGGGTGCTAACGATCCACTTTTTCGATTTTATCCACTAGGATCTTTTTAAAATATCAAGAAGTTGAGCACAAATAGTAAGCATTTCAACCCACCATAATTCGTGCGCAGACAAAATTTGTAAAACGCTCTGATAGCAGGCAATTATGTCCTGCCTTATATCCAGAAAAACATCACAAACTGCAGAATAAAAATTGAACGTAACAGCGAAATGGGTACATTTCACGGTCATGAAATTCAAATGAAAATGCCAGGTATACAATCTACCAATTATCGTTCTCAAAAACATATTTCCTTGACATATCGATAATTTTAAGTTGCACGCTAAATTCCCTATACTTGACTGAGTGATATCCGAATTCATTCTTCCCTACTGTCGATAGTTGCAGATCGATCTGTTGGCTCTTGGTGTCAACCTATAGAGCAGGTACCGATTTTTTCAAATCGTGAGCACATTATTCGTCGGATTTTCGTTACTTAAATTTCCTGTAATTCAATGGGATCAGAAGCTTCTTAATAATAGAACGTGTTTCACTGATATCAAAGATGCAACATTTAGAATCACCTCCCCCAACCCCCACTTTTTAAGCAGTACCATTTTTTTCTGTCAATGATAAGGAACCCCTGTAACGTCAAAAACGGAGTTTCAGCAATTGTTACTTTTTCTTTTTTGCTATAGCACCGTTGCCACTGGACCTAAAACTACAAAGCTTTGCCATACTAGTACCCCCTGTGGAAAAATTCATAAAAATCCGAGCGGTTATTTCCAAGTTGATGAGTGATACAGTTTTTCGTGATGTAGATGTCATATGACTTAAATAAACATAATATCTAATATAATATAATTTCGCGATTACAATGCTGGTTGGATAACAATTTACTTAACTTAATATCTCTAAAACTAAGTATGTAACGTTTTCTCCAACCAAAGTAGGCATGCCATTACAACACCGAACATTAATTATAAATGATAGTGCTGACACTGTCGAAAGAGTTTGAAGTATATTGTTATTAGATACTTAGGAATCACTGTTGACAGTAATTTAAAATGGCAGAGTCATGCCGAGCTTTTGGCATCGAAATTAAGGAGAATTATTCATAAGTTTTTCATTCTTAGGAATATTTTAAGCAGAAAGAGTCTTCTCTCAATATATAACTCTTTGTGGGGTATCTACTAACTTACGGATAAGTATTTGGGGGAGCCGCATAGACTAGTACTTTAAAAATACTACAAACCACGCAAAATTATATCGTCAGGACTATTTTTCGTATCCATGTAGGTCAAGTTGCAGATTTGTTTACATTGAAAATGATCTTTTGAATGTTAGAGGTTTATATATTTTTGCTGCTCTAAAATTTGTTCACTCCCGAACAATGTTCCAACCAGCCACGCTTATGAACAAGAACTAAATAAATATAAGTTACACCTATACCAGAGTGAATAAATCTGTTTGCCAAAAATGCATAAAGTTTTGATGGTATTAGGTTGTATAATAAATTACCCCTAGAATATAAAATCCTCTCGAAGTATAGTTTCAAAAAAAGAATTAAGAAGTTCATCTTAAATAACTTTGACATGCTTGCATCGAACGTAGCTTGACTCAACTCAGTAATTTCGTTTCTATCTAATGTTTTTTTATTTCTTTTTTTTATATACATTTGCTCATAATATACCTTATAACCAATAGCCATGCATTTGAATTTGTATATTGTATGACACACACAAGCTTATAGCTTAGGTGTCTATTCTTTTGTAGTAAATTCTTTTGTAGTAAATTGTAGTACTCTGTTTCTCTGCTAATCTTTACGCAAAATTTTTATTGTTTGAACAACATAGTTTGACCTTGCTCGAAATATCCCTATATTATCATATTTCAGATATTCATATTTTATGTACTCTATATTTATACTTCTGAGTGTTTTTTAGTATGCTTCTGTACTATTGTTATGAATTTTAGATTTGTTTATGCAGACACGTAATTTAGGATTTGTGACGACAAGATTCAGACATTTACCATTTACGAAAGTATACAGAATTTTCACAATTCATATACCGTTACTTGCTGTTCTAGATCTGATGCTAGCATCTTTGCTCAGATTTCTGTTGCAATCTTGATTATTCACGGTAGCAAGAGTATACAAGCTCATGTATTTTTGAAGCTTTTTTATTTAAATTGTACTGAAGGTTGTTTTTTTTTGTAATTTGTAAGTTATATTGGTTTTTGAATTTGAATTTGAACTTTGAACAATACTTCCTCGCGAATGACGTGGGAAGTAAAACGGCTTTAAAAATCGAGGAGTATCAGCGATCGTGATTATGAGTACCTATTTGCAGAACGACTTATCTACGCGATGTTATGAAACAGGACCACCAAATTATCAGAATACGTCCTTTCTTAGTCCGTACATGGCGCCGCAACGCTTGGGTTGGCAGCACGAAACA